AAAGATAGATAGATAGATAGATAGATAGATAGATAGATAGATAGATAGATAGATAGATAGATAGATAGATAGATAGATAGATAAAAAAATAATAAAAAAAATAAGTAGGAGGAATGGGGGAGGGGGGGTGGTATCGATACTTTTGAAAATGAGTATGGTATACAACGTTTATATAACGTTTTAGTATTGATACTTTTTTGAGTATCGATACTTTTGACAACCGATTCCAGAGGTCTGGGGAGGAGTCAGGAGAGGAGCTGCTATGTGGGAGTTTAGAGGGGGACACCGCTCACCCACGACGATGGCTCCCCACCAGGGGAGGCCCAGGTCCATGTGGAAGAACTCCAACATGTTCTGGATCAGGCCCACCGGGGTGTTCGCGGCCAGCCCCAGCTCGGCCAGCCGGGGCTCGGCCGCCACGGCCTGCAGGACGTCGACCGCCGTGGGGATGGCGTCCAACGCCGTGGGGGGGGCGTCGGGCGCCGCCTGACTGAGGACGGACGCCATGTCCAGAGCCGGAACGTCTGCCGCGGAAAGGCTGTCAACTGGGACCTGAAAAGGCCCAGGATGGAAACGTCATGAGCTCAAACGGGGGACTGGGACAGAACTGAGGTTCAGTGGGAATTGTTGGGTTTCTGTAATTAACTTCAGAGTAGGGTCTGACCTGCTCTGTTTGGAAAGCGCTGTGAGACAACTGTTGCTGTGATGTGGCGCTATGTAAATAAAATTGAATTGAATTAATTTTAATTTTGTAATGTCATTGTGTGAACGTGTGTTTGGACTGATTTTGTATTTTGTGATTTGGTGTTTGGTCTTCCTGCCTCAGGACGACAGATGTAAACTAGCAACTATGCTATAATCTGGCTCATTAATAATCTGTATGAGATTGTTCATTAATGTGCACTGTCCTGATTAAAGAAATGAATAAAAATAAATAAAATAAAAAAAGTCTGGGGGTTCAGACACCTGCGGGGTCACGATGGGGGCGGCGGGCGGGGGGGCGGCGGCCGCCTCCAGCACAGGCGCCACGGAGCCATCGTCAGGGGGGATCTGGACAGAAAGTCCTGGGATATAAAATACATTCAAAAACATTTTCTGCTATTGGAAACAGGAAGACATTGTTTTTTTCCCTTGTCTTTACAAAACCTGGAAGAGCTGTGAGTCAATTTGAGGTTTAAATAAAAGTTCTGATGCTTTCCAACTAAAATGTGATCTAGTTAGCATAATTCTATTATATCACGCAGCTGTGATATAACTATAACACTTTTTCAGTTATAACAAATTGTATTTATCCACCCAACTCAGCATGAAAAGACTATGAAATACCCACTATATATCTATATATTTCATCTGTCCTAATCAAAACAGGACAGTTCTTAATTTATATATATTTGTTATAAATTATAGTATCCTACCACCAGAATGCTACGCCAACCAAATTTCCCTTCAGGGATGAATAAAGTAATCTATCTATCTATCTATCTATCTATCTATCTATCTATCTATCTATCTATCTATCTATCTGTTCCATTTAGCAGATTTTACAGTAATGTAAGGATAAATTAACTGAAAGTAAAGTAGGTGAGGAGTGAATTAAAAAGCCATTTCTGTATAAATCTATTGGTTTATACACAAACTGTCTGAAATGGCTACCTTCACTCACCTGTGAGCTGTTGTGTCTGACTGCGTTCACCCAGAGGAGCTTTCCCTGGTGTCTGCGGCCCAGCTGGACGCAGGCGGAGCGACTCCTGCCCCCAAACGCTGTGTGCAGGCTGGACGTCTGGAGTAACCGCTGTTTCAACACAACAGAAATCAGAAACCTGAGGGAAAATGAGCTGCGAATGCACAGATTTCTGCCATTCAGGCCGGAATCACTACAGATAAACGCAAATAACCTATGCTATGATGTTGTGAAATATTTATCTGATGTGAAATTTAAAAATATGTGTTTGATGGTTGTAAAACAACACACTGCTTTGACTGAGTTCACCCATAAAAAACTCATAAAAACTGGAAGCTTTCAGTCAAATTGGAATAAGAATAATAAATCATAAATAATTGTTCTCAGGGTGATTTGTTCATTATGAATTTAAAACAAAACGGATGTGAAGAAGTTAAGAGTTAAATCTGGGATATAGTGACCCCTAGCGGAATATTTTTGTTCATGGGACTTTGCTTTGAACTAAATCAAATCGATTTAAAACTAGTAGAAAACCAAACCAGACGTTTCGTAAAATCAAAGCACAAAACGTAAGTCTTCTCCATTGCTAATAAATATATGATTTTAGCTAAACGGGCAGCTTTTCGCGGTGTGAGGGGCCTGCAAAGCCACAGAGATGCAACCATTGCCCCAAATTAATATTTTTCTATCTGCAGAAATTGTTACAGCAAACATAAAGCAGCTTTGTCTGAACCGCTCAAGCTGGCCAGTCTGAAATAGTTATCTCACAGAATAAAATACACAGCTGGGACCCCTGTCTTCTGACAAGCCACTGTCAAAGTCACAGAAGACATGCACTCGTAACCATGCTAGCCGGTTAGCATGCTAGCCCGTTAGCCACGTAAACCGTCTGTTCGCGTGCGCGTTTCAGGCGCGCGAACAGAGTAACACCCCCCAAATGTCAAAACGAACATACGTGGTTCCAGAGCTGTGAAATGTGTTGGTTTCCCCGGCTTGGTTTTCCAGTCTGTCGCAGGAAACATCTAGC